TTCGCGATCCTAGCAATTTCCCCCTCGGCAGTTGCTGTCTCCCCCTCTGGGGTAAGCAACCCTGAAATGTCGTTCTCATTGCTCGAGGGTCTGTTGCCTAGCCTAAAGAAATACTTTGAGGGAGAATCCGTCTGTGCCAGGTGTTGCACCTTTTTGTGCACAAACGAACTATGTGCCTGTTGGTCCGTGACGGCCCTAAAAAGTCGCCGCTTCTCCAGCAGCACCTCGCCCTCGTTGTTGTGCGCGTCCTGGGCCGAGCCCATCTCAGCCTCGAGCAGCAGCAGCTCGCTCGCTCCCCAGGCGTTTCACCGTCTTCTCCTTGGCGGCGGCGTGCTGGCTCGAAAGCTGTAGACAGAGGGCCCTAATTTGCGCTTTAGTGTGTTCCCACCATCGCTGACCAGAGCTGAAACTGCTCCTAGTTGCTGCCCAGTGTGACCAACAGGCCCTGAATGCCTCCGTGAAATTTTCGTCCTCAAGCAGCTGCACGTCGAGTTTCCAGTAGGGGCAGCGACGCCTCTCCCTGGGGACTCGCAGCAGTGCTGAGACCAGGTGGTGGTCAGAGAAACCGGACGGGGTGATGTTGCTGCCCCCTAGCCGGTTAGCGCTGTCCGCACTGATGTACAGCCGGTCCAGCCTGGCGAGGCTCATCCTCCCCTGCAGGCCCGCGCGGCACCAAGTGTATTGCCTCTGGCCTGGGTGTTGCAGTCGCCACGTGTCGAGCAAACCCAGTTGCTGCACCATGTCGGCTAATGGCCGTGCGGATTCCGGGTGGGGCTCAGCACTATTGCGGTCGAGAGCCGGGTCGAGGGTGCAGTTCATATCTCCCCCCACGACCGTGAGCACCCCGTCCGCACTGCCTGCCTCCAAGGCATTCCGCAGTGTGCCAGAGAAAAAGCGTTTCCTCTCACTGGTCTTACTCTGCGCATAAACGTTGAAACACCGTAGCCTCGTGTTGTTTAACACGAAGTCTACAGATATCAGATAGCCTTTTTGGATCTCTCTGAAGGCCACGCCTTCTGGGAGAAACTTTGGACTAAACACAATTGCAACACCAGCGCGGTTGTCTTCTCCGTGACTAAAGAAGGTCTGGCTGCCCAAGAGGTGCTGGCGCTGGGGCTGCAGAGTTGCGTCAAGGTGCGTTTCTTGCAGAAACGTCACATCCGCTTTCTGCTCGCTAATGAAGCTGCAGATGCGGTGCCACCTCTGATCGCTTCGAGCTCCGTTGCAGTTTAAACTCGCGATCCTTACACCTGAGGAAGCCATGGCTTTAGGCGTCGGCTTCAGCAACAGCATCAGCGGGGCGGCACTCCGGTTGGGACATGCTCCCCTTTCTTGCTTTCTGCATGAAACCCCTCAGCCGATTGCCTTCCTGCGGGGTGCATTTGTGCTTTTCCATGTCGCTGATGATTGTCTGCGCGACCTTCAAGAAGGCCTGCACATCGGGGAAAGAATCTCCGATGTCGACCCCCCGCTTCTTGTAACTAGTTCGGAGGAATTTGACAATCTTGCCGGGTGTGTACTCTCGTTTCTTCTTAACATGTGAGTTGCTCCCCTCACTCAAGTTGTCTTCTATCTCTAACTCCGACCCTCCGTCGTCTGAGTCTCCCGGCACGCTTGTGTGAGGCTCGGTGGTTACCTCTTCCAACGCACCGTGCCGATCGGAGGTGTCTTCCAACTCGGGCCGGCTCCCCTCTGCGGCCTCTGCCTCCCTCACCTGGTCGGGTGAGGAGGTGAGCTGGTCGTCACCCCCGAGCGCCGTGTCATCGGCAGGCTCATCGGTGGCTTCCAGCACCCCCCCCCTTCCGGGGCAGCCGAGTCCGGGTCTGGTGGTCGCCCCTCTGCCTCGGCATCAACCGGCCGGTGGGCCTCGTCAATGACGACCACAGCACCCTGTGGCTCGGCCTCACCGCCGCGCCCTGCTGTTGCGTTCGGGCGGTTGTCCCGTTCGTCACTGTCGCTGTTGTCTTTCTCGGCGGCGGCCACGCGTTTTGGAAGGGTGCCACCGCGCCCCCCCCCCCCCCCCCCCCGAATTGCCTCCTCTCGCCTTCCGCTTTCTCGACTCAACGACGGTGAAACCATCTTCCCCGCCGTCAGTCATTGGCTGCGCGTGACCATCAGCAGCGTCGGTGGAGGTCTGCTGCTGCTGCTGCAGCTGCTGTTGCCGCGGTGGCAGCGCCTGCTGCTGCTGCTTCTGCTGCTCCCGCACTTCTGCTGCTGCTGTCTGCGCAGGCGGAGCTGCTTTTCCCCTTTCATCCAACAGTGGACAGTTTGATTCTAATGCGACTACAGTGGGATTTTAATAATTGTAATGAGATTCAAATATTGCATGTCCTACCCCCGGTTCGCATTCACTTAACATGCATATGGCCAAAGTGTGATTCTAACATTATCACAGTGCAATTATAATTATTATTATGCGATAATAATCACGAACCTCCATTTTTGTTGTTCAAAACTAATAATACTGTGATGCCGCCGCCACGAAGCCGTTCGGCAGGCGCCCAAATCCCCGACCTCGCCACCACCAAGCAACGGAGCCAACCCCGCGTCTCCCTCACCTCACCTCACACGAAGACACCCGCACGCATTTCCCCCCCCCCCCCCCCCCATAGAGCTCCGAGGGGAGGTCACCTGGCCGACCGGTTTTTATCCGAGAAACCCTTATCGGGGTTAACTCTCACGGTTTCCGGCGATCAGGGAATTGGACGACCTCCCCCGTGCTACGTTGCGCCGCTGCGCTGCGACCAGCCTTAATATGGTATGGTCGCGGCATGGGGCATTCGGCCACCGCGGTTGAGGCGCATTTCCCCCCACACACACCCCCACGGGTCGACGGGGCAAGCAGGGGAGGGACGGGACAGCATGAATAGCGGGACCGCAGGAGCTGTTGCGCATAGTCATGGCGGGTTGGGATAATTACGCTTGAGCGCGCAGGCCCCATTGTTAGGAAGGGTAAGGGAGTAATTAGGATGTACGCCGCCAACGCCGCTCACTGATTAGCATATCACCAGCGCCCGGGAACCGCCGTGCGCGGGCTTGGGGTGCACGAGCCCATTGTTCAGCGCAGCATCCCCTTTGAGCTAGGGAGGATAAATAGAGGGGCGCAGAGGGGAAATCGCTCTCTTCTCTCCAGGCCAGCGGACCAGCCGCGGCTCCAGCCAGCGACCCGGGCGTCCGCGCGACTCATCGAGGTGCGCTGTTAGCACAGGGAGCAGCGAACCACCGCGGGCACCAAACAGTGAGTGGGGAGGTGAAGTAGGGTAGCGTAAGCCAATAAATAGGGAATAGGTACAGGTTTGGGTGGAATAGGCCAGCCTCGTCGACTCACTGATTCAACATCAATTCGCAGGTAGCATATAATAAATCATTAATAGCGAAGCGTGGTCTCGCGTGATCTTGTCGTGCAGAGTGTCGCGTGGGGAGCTGCGTGTGTGTGCGTGCGTCCACCCAGGGTGCGATACAGGTGCGCGATCCTAACGCGAGTAGTCAGGGGTGAGTGTAGTGCTGCGGCTCGCCTCGGGGGAGCGCTGCGCAGAGCGGCGCGAGAGTGGGTGTCGCGTGTGTTCACTCCGTGTGTGATACAGGTGCGCGATCATAACGCGAGTACCCAGTGGTGAGTGAGTGCCGCGGCGAGCTGTGTACGTGAGTGCGCATACATTCGTTACGTGTCGGATACGAATACGCATTGGTACGTGGTTATTCGACGTGGAGGCGAGTGCCGCACAGGGCTATAGACGGGCACACACTCGCAGCGTGCGAGAGCTGTACGTAGCGGTGTAAAGAGGGGGAGTATGGCGTTTGATTGATGATGCTGTGCGCACGTATGCTCGCAGCGTGGGAGCGCGGCGCGAGGCTGTAACAGTAGGGGCGTCACGTTCAAATGCCGGCGAAACTGTAGCGGGAAATAGGGAGGTGGGGTAACGTAAACTGAATAGGGGATGCAGGCGGGAGGGACCCCGGGGGCCAACGGCCCCCACACTTCTAATGATATTATAATACCTTACCTTCGTTTAAATGGTTATAAATTAAAACACTAGTTTATAATCGTTTAATGTTCAGTGTTATAGTTTATAGTATTACAGTTTACATGTTATAGAGTACAGTTTATCCCGGACATACTTCGGGATTAGGGACTGGTACGTTGATGAACGATTAACTACGGGGACCTTTCCACTCAAGGAACACGTGTTAATCGGGTAGACAGCCAAGATGCTGCGGGTTAAGGGCACACTTGTGTGACGGAGGTCCTCCACCTGAAATTATCTTAACATAGGAACATTATAAAATAAAGACCGGACAAACATTTGTTAAAAATACGTTTTTATTCATCTGCAATCATTTTAACGTCAAAATGTTCACACATTTCCAGTACCATGCAAACCATTTCCGTTCCAGGAATACCAAAACGTTAAAGTATCATTGATTTCCTTATTAATTTACCACATTTCACTGCGAGTCCATGTTGAAGTCAAGGCCATATATCCAACGATCGCGTTATCAATGTACATCCTGATATCGACTATCTAAAGTCAATTAATACCAATCAAAAAAAGCTATATACTTGACAAAAATCGTTTAAAATGTTGAGTAAAGATGTACCTACAGACGCATTCCAACTTTAGCTCAACAGGGACACTTAACGACTACAATTGAACCCTTTCACAACCAGTGCTCATCACACCACTTCGGCAAGTAACCCGATAACATTACAAACCACCACTGGGCACGTCATTAAACTCTCAAAAAAACTATAAAACTAAAATGTTCAAAATAACACACAAAAGTACTCGATACGGCTTAAAAGGTATAACCACATGACGTAATATTTTTTCAGTCACTCCGAGCTCTCTGGTTGACTCTCGAGCCACTCCATTACATCCAGCCATCTCTCGGGATCCAACTCCATGGGATCGAAGGTGGAAACTTCTTTAGAACTCATTGCAGCACCTTGAATTTCAGCTTTTGATTTCAGTTTCCTATCATTGTGGACCTTCTGGTGCCTGTTCATGGTTGATGACCGTGCAAATGCCTTCCCACACACAGGGCACAGGAATGGCTTCTCGCCCGTGTGTGTTCTCCGATGACTCTGAAGATGTGACGAGTGTGCAAACGTCTTCCCACACACAGGGCACAGAAATGGCTTCTCGCCCGTATGTGTTCTCTGATGACTCTGAAGAGTTGATGACTGTGCAAACGTCTTCCCACACACAGGGCACAGGAATGGCTTCTCGCCCGTGTGTGCTTTCTGATGAATCTGAAGATGTGATGACTGTGCAAATGCCTTCCCACACACAGGGCACAGGAATGGCTTCTCGCCCGTGTGTGTTCTCTGATGAATCTGAAGATGTGATGACCTTGCAAATGTCTTCCCACACACAGGGCACAGGAATGGCTTCTCGCCCGTGTGTGTTCTCTGGTGGCTCTGAAGATGTGATGGTCGTGAAAAGGACTTCCCACACACAGAGCAATTGAATGGCTTCTTCTCTCCGTGTGCGTGGGGCTGTGGAGAGCGTCTCTGCTCCATGTGAGCGTAGTAACAGCAGCGGTGTTATTGAGTCAAAAGTACGCTATCGGCCGCAAGGATGTTTAGCGTTTTGGATTTTGTTAACTGCTAAAACAAGAACGAAACTCGCGTCTAACCGAGTCGCAAAAAATCACGTCAATTTGACGACGAACACGTTTAAGAGTTTATCCGCGAAAATATAAACTTACTTGGGGATTCACGGTATATCGATGTCTTGAACCCGTCTGAAGATGTCGCCACGAACTCTCCCGACGCAAAGTCGCCTAACTGTCGACACAGCAATTCTGCTCGCCAGGCTGCGTTGTCTCGCGGTTGAAGGGCGATCAGCAGAGCGACGAGTCGAGCGTCCAACCTCATCAGGTTCCCTTTCGAAATGGCATTGAGCTCTGCTTCTGAGCCGCCTTATAACTCCCCCCCTAGGATCCAATCCTTTGTCTTTCAGGATATTTGCATTCGATTGTTAATTTTGGAAGGCACAATCCGCATGTCTATTAACATACCGAAGGGTAATGTGCCCATTGTGCTTCATGCATGAATATGTAAGTGCATCTAAGTGTGTAATTGTGCGCTTATTTTGAATAAATGGAAAAACACGTTCCCCCTGCCCTCCATTGTCCTCGATTTAAAGTGAATGCAGCCCCGTGGCGTTGCCAAAAATCGCCGAGCTTCGTGTGTGAGCACATACAGTCGCGTAGTGACCACACTTGCCACACAATCACTCTAACATCAGTAACCAAAGTCCGATCTGGTACATGGTCTCCGCTTGGTCAGGTTTGTATCCGTCATCACTCAGGAGACAAACATCGAGGCATGGTTTGGCCAGCCACCACCTCGTTTGCCAAAGCGACTTTAATAGCTGCTCTCAAACAACACTATCACCAATAGTGGTTTATGGGCTAGGCTGTTAAGCGGATAATCAGTCTTTTTGGGCAAGGCGTATGGGAAAATACACACCTCTGTTATCCCATAAACACAATACACAGCATCGGTAAGGCTGCCTTGATGGGGAGATGTAGTTTGGGTAAGGTGCTGTCACTGGAGTTCGGCGATGTGACTGGGGTATCACGCGGATTCCGAAAAGCAGCTTAGACGAAACGACCCACTGCGCTCCATCTCCCCACATGGACAACGACATTCTAAATTTTAAAAAAATTGAAAACATATTTTTAAATACCTATTTGATAACACGTTCCTTCGGAGTGGGCAGGTAGGAACTTGGTTGGACAGCGCATTCGTGCGATCCGTGTTGGATACCGTAGTCATGTTGGAGGTTGTAGCTGTTACTATTGCATCTGATGATGATTGTTGATTTATTGCTGTAGGTCTTTAAGTTCATGCTGCTGCTGCAGCAGGTTGCGCCTGTGCTGTGACGCCACCTCCTGCGTGTACCACGCGCGCCAATCCACCTGACCTGGTCTTTGAACGGCCACGATGTTGTCGTAATGGCGCACCAGGTGCATGATGTTGAGCAGGGCATAGACGCCGCAGTCGAGAAAGGTCACCTGCGGGCGTTGCACCGGGGAAACCCGGGGCAGCACGTTGGCCACCTCGACAGGACCGTCTTGCATGAAACAAATGGCGTTCCCCGTTGAGTGGCTGGCCCTTATCAAGATGTCAATATTGAAGGCTCGGGCGGGTAAAATCGCTCCCTGTATAAGATTCAAATACTGTCAATAATAGCTGTATTATAATAAAATACTGTCAATTATCCATTTTCACACTCACGATGTATGTATCATGTCAGAATAATTTATAAATAAGAAATGCCAAATCTATGTTTTTCAAATTAAGAAATGGCAACCTCGTGTCTTACCCACAAATGTAGCAACTACCCAAAACGTTGAGTAGGCACGTAAAATAAATTCATCAACTGAAATTGATTATGCTCCTGACAAATAACAAGTCACGTGAGATTAGATTATTTACAATGCATGTACATTACATGGCAATGTTCATCATCATCATCAGCCATGCTCAATCTACTGCTGGGAGAAAAGGTTCCCCAATATTTTCCCCAATATTGTCACCATTCCTCATGATCCTGCGATCCACCCAGCTCATGCGCATGAGATGATCTCATTGCTTCATCTCTGTGGTGGTTATTTTCTCACACGTGTTTTCTCCATCGGTTGACATTCCATCCCAAGTTCTGTCCACTTGCTATTATCCCTTTTGATTTAAAGCTTTCGTGACTGCAGGGATTCATCTTCTTGGTTCTTTCGGTACGTGACTTTACCGAAAGAACCAAGAAGATTATCCCTTTTAGTCACGATGTGTCTTGGCCAAGCCGAATTTAAACTCTACTTGCATTTTTGCAATGTTGCATTGAGGAGAAAGTAAAGTAACCAAAAAATAACTGTACGAATTAAAATAGAGATGGTCAAAAGGAAATAAAAAATAATGAAATAATGACTGTAAATCTATCACAATTTATTGAAAAACTGGAAAGTGTGCTGGGAGTGGGGGGAGGGAACTCCAGTTGAATCGTAAACATGGCCACAGGCAGCCATTGCCACCATGCACACATGCCCAGTTAGGGATGTTCATTTAATTTTTAAGGGTTTTACGATAATTGCATGCACAAAAGCCTATTAAAAAAAACATTACCAATCTTCACTACACCCACAATGACCGGAGTGAAATATGGTCACAACAAGCTCAATGACTGACATGGCATGGTTAGGCCTTCATCTAGCAGTGGCTTGACCAAATGGTGTACGTTTATTATATTGTTTATATTGTATCTATAATGATCAGAACAATGACATTGCAACATGCGTCTGTAAAAATGCGTGCCATGCGCCAAGCAGTTTGATCAAGCACTCAAAAAGTAGAAGATTATAGATTCCATGACTTAGGAGTCAATACAATATTCCATAAGCAAACGGTACAAATCGATAATAAAAGTGCAGGAGATACAAAACACTGAGTACGCTTCGCCAGTACTCTAACTTACAATACGATATTATATGTGCATAGGCAGATTATTCTGCGTCAAGAGATACGAGAAAAAAGCTTATCAATATCAATATACTCATGGTGTTTTTAGTGATAAAGCAAATATCTGTGGAGTCACGTACCGCCTTGAAGACTCTTAATATAAGACTCTTAATATTTACGTTGAAGCCTATTCGCCATTGCTTGAAGGAGCATCGGTTGGGGAGGGAGAGATCACAGAGGTGGTGGGGTGGGAAAGGACTGTCACCAAGATGGCCTCAAGTGGCATGGGAGAGTTAACGCAGCGAATAAGATGCACGACAAACAGACAAATAATCCCTGGTGGGCAGTGTGGAACCTGTTGTTCCTACCTGTATGTAGAAAAAATAACTTGACTTTAGGTAGCCAGGCAGACAGCCCCCTTAACTATCGCCCCCCCTCCCTTAGGCCCCTCCCCTGACCCCCCTTCCATTATGCCCCTCCCCTGACCCCCCCCCCCCTTAGGCCCCTCCCCTGACCCCCCCCCCCTCAGGCCCCTCTCCTGAACACCCCCCCCCCATATCCTTAGGCCCCTCCCCTGACCCTCCTCCCTTAGGCACCTCCCCTCTCCCATACCCGGAAGTAGGTCTCCACCAATCAAAGAGCTGTTTATGTTATATATTTATTTATGCACGACAAACAAACAGACAGTCAGACAAACAGACAGACAATAAATCCCTGGTGGGCAGTGTGGAACATTGTTCCTACCTGTATAATGTGGTGTATATATGTTACCATGTGTGGTTGTTATGATTTTTGTATGTGTATATATAAATACTGTATATAGCATTTCGATTGAGATGAGACCTTCATCTTGCAGTGTAATACGACCGTGTTGTAATTTTTATCATTTTTATCCGATCCTTACACGGAGACTATATATACATATGAGCAGAGTGTGATTCTAATACGACCACACTGTGATTATAATGCTTCTAATGAGATTATAATACCTTACCTCCGTTTATATGGTTCTAAATTTAAACACTAGTTCATAGTCTTCTTGGTTCTTTCCGTAAAGTCACGTAGAAGAGACGTAATAAAATAAATCTCATTAGAAGTATTAAAATCGCACTCTATAGATATGTATGTAAATTATCTGTTCAATCGATCCGGGGGTCGGATATGTGAACTGTGGGGGTACAGGACATGAATCGCATTCAAATTTTAGAATAACAATATGGTCGTATTAGCATTTGACTGTGCTTGAATGTATGTTATGTGCAAATGCAAATCGTTAGTCGTAAATGCGAGGGAGGGGTTAAGAGGTGCACGTTAAATCCAGTGTTAACATTTATTTTAGCATCATATTTAAGGACAATATTGTTGATAAGAATTCGTCTGGACATGGCACGTGCCTTGTTCTACTCGATCAACCAAAATTAGTACAATGTCGGTCATACAGGAGTGTGATTTCATTTATGAGTAGTATTCACAGAGCCCCGATGACACTAACCTACCTAATGTTATGGTTAAACAAAGTAATCTTGAGTGGCTTAATTATCAGCTCAGACATGATCATCGCAATCATTTCCAAAGACGTGTGGGGTCCTGCGAGAGCAAGTCCCGACTACAAACAGCTGGGCAGCAGAATCTGAAGTAGCTGCGTCGCCCTCGAAATGTGATGTTGCTGCTGCTGTTGTCGCTACTGTTGTTGCTGCTGTAGTTGCTTCTGTTGCTGTGATATACGCAGGGAGGTGGTGTTCCGTGATGGGATGACGCCTTTGATTAAAGCCTCTGATCAAACTCACCCGATTGACGCCCTTGACCGTCGCATTTGATCAACTCTGATATTGTATACTCTCACATGTTAAGCTCTATCATAGTGAAACATGATATTTTAACCTATGAACTACAACCTATCCATTGTAACGCTGTAAAAGAATATTAGCCATTGGGTTTCACTCCCTCGTCGAGAAGGCCGCTCTCTTCCTTTTCTAAAGTTACATGCT